CTCTCTCTCTCTCTCTGTCTCACTCTCTCTCCCCCCCCCCCCTCCCCCCCCCCCCTCCCCCTCCCCCTCCCCCTCTCCCCCCCCCTGTAGGTCTTAGTAACTAGTTTTAAGGCAGGTGGGTTGTGTTTCAGTGTTGACTGAAACATTGACTGACCTAAGCCTTTGCTCCCCTACCACTTACAACATTTCCTTGTTCAGGGTTACGACTTTTAAAAATATCTTTATAGAGCAAGATAAGTCTATAGAGGGTAATTGGCAAATCAACATTGCTTGATTAATCTGATCAGACCTGAACTTTCTAAGGTGTACTCAGAATTTTAATTTTATGGACACATGGTAGGAATGAAATTTGGAATTTTTAGCTTATAGTAGACTCAAATGATCATACAACCCATGGATCTTCTGTGATCATCTTGTCTTCCCTGGAAAACTGACTGTTCATCTTGCTCAGAGAAGCTTTACTGTGGGTCAGTGTTTTATTGTTGGTAGTTCCTCTTGAGGAACCTGAACATTTGTGAGCAGAAGGTTTTTCTTTATTTGTTTTAATGCTTAAAGCAAACTAAGTCATTGTGGTCTGTAAGGAAAAAATCCAAAATCCACGGTCAGGAAATTTATTTATTTAATTTCCATACTACCCAATAGCTGAGCTCTTTTGAGCAGTTTACAAAAATGCATAAAATGCAATGTAAAATACAAACAATAATAACACCACAAAAGATTACCGTACAAAAATTTTAAACCAAGTTTAAAGCAAAAATAAAAAGCTATACTAGCTTATGCAAATTAAATCATCAGACTTGTTTAAGCAGCTAGGAGGCCCCCAATATAATAATAAACTAATTAAATGTCCTGTGGTAGAGGACACCCTGGCACTCTGCAGGTAGGCAGGCCTTAGTGGGGCGCTTGTTCCATAGCTGGGGTAGCGGGGCTACCACTGGAAAGGCCCTTTTCTTGTTGCCATCCACTGAGCCTCCCTTGGAGGTAGCAGTTGGAAGTAATCCCCAGGTCTTGGTTGTAATGTCTGGGTAGACTGTGGTTGGGAGAGGAGTTCCATCAGCTTCTGTGGTCCCAAGCTGGGTAAGGCTTCATAGGTCAAAACCAGCACCTTGATTTGGTCTCAGAAGAATGTAGGCAGCCAATGGAAGCAGGGCAGAAATAGTGTTATCGGTTCAGACTTTGATGTAGAGGGAACAGGCCCTTTCATGCATGTTGTAACATGACACTGGTTGTATGTGTAGCCATATGTGTCTCTGTAATCATTTTTTAAAGTGATTTCTATTAGGTTGACCATAGGCATATATCTGATTTTCAGAGGGCTAAATGTGACTTGTCCTTACGTCATCACAGCTAGCCTTACTATTCTAACTCCCTAATTTTGGAGGAAGGAATTTCTGAGGGCTTGGCTTTTAGGTATGCTTGATTTAGGGTACCTTTTATAGGCTGTACACGATTGCCATTGACAATTTACATTTTTAAATGTACTTAAACTATCAATGTACTCAAGATGAACAAGGATTAGTAATTAGCTATTTGGGAAAAGAGATACAAGGTAAAGGCCAGTTATAAGTAGATTTTTGTATAAATGTTGTATATTTTCACCTAATTTAAAAATAACTTTACTGGAAATGTGGATATATGTTAATGTGAGGTGTTCAGGATGAATTTTGGAAGGTGGTTTGTGTGTTTGTGCAAGCGTATGCATGAATTGTTAAAATATAAGGGGAAAGATCTCCCTCTAGTGGTTTCTGTGGGATTAACTTAATTCATCACTATGCATGAGTTTAGATTTATTGGCATATACAATTTTTACCTAAAGTAAACCCTGGGTTCTTCAACGATTGCTCTTTTGTAATATAACCTGCATTATGCAAGGCCAGAAAGCGCAGAAGATGGCCTTCCCTGTCCACGTAACTTCATCCAATTCCTGTAAATTCCCACAACATCCTATTTGGCAATGTATGCACTGCAGTCTGTCCTGTGATAGTAATACCATTTTTCCACTGTATATTTTAGTTAACATCAAACAAATCCATCCAGCTAAGTCTGCGGAACCTTGTCTAACAAAATCAATGTGCTTAAGAGTCCATAAACACGTTAATCCATTTTTTTGCAAAGGGATTTTATAAAGGACATTTTGACCTTCACCTTTTTGGCATGTTGCAGCACAACACCCAGCCTCCCGTGGTCTGAAGGGGGAAAGATTTTATTCCATCCAATAGTCCGAAAGAGACAGATCAGATTAAGCTATCTGAAGCACCTTCCATTTCTACTGGGGAACTTTCTGCATGCCCCTAGAAATTCGTGCACTTTTAATTTGTTAAGCAGTGCCCATACATAGTTTTGAAGAAAGAAAAAAGATTGTTTCCTGCTCCCCCAGAGGCTAAGGCTAGACCTAATGAGCCACTCTAGACCTAAGGGACTTAAGTTAGCTCCAGGGTAGAATTTGGTCAAACATTAGGAGATTTTTTTTAAATAGAAAGAATAGTTCAAAAGTGGAACCAATTACTTAAGTGGTCTGGGCAAGCAGGCTTCCCCGCACTGGAGATATTGAAGCAGAGTCTGGATAGCTATCTACTAGGGATGTTTTAGCTCTGGAATCCATGTACTGGGCAGGGAGTGGGACTTGATGACCATCAACAGCCTTTCCCTTCCTGCATTTTTTAACTCTTGGAAGCCTTGCGTTAAGGAATATTCTGTGAAATAGTGACTGATGTTTTACTGCTTGACCAGTTGGAGAGCAGTCTGCCATGCGATGGCCACCAACCAAGTAGATGTACTTGAGCCTGTTACTAAATATGAAGTGCTTTAACACAGCCATCACAGAATTATTTGCTGTACATCTTTGTGGTTTTAAGGCTGTTTCGACAGGTAGAAGTTCTTGTATGTTGTCTATCTGAAATGTCATTTCTCTGTCTCCTAGGTTTGGGAGGCATTTCGAGTCCCCCTTATTGCTGCAGAGCATTATCATGATAATTACAATGTTACTGATGCTGAAACTGTGCACTGAAGTTCGTGTGGCAAATGAACTGAATATAAAACGGCGCTCCTTTTCAGGTTGGTTGAAATAATTTTTAATAATGCTGTTTCCCTCCTTTGATTTTGTAGGTTTACTCTTGCTAAATTATAATTTGGTGTTTGCTGTGTCCAGTTATCTTTTGATAATCCAATACATAAAGGGTTTCCAGTCTATCCAATGGAAATAGTTTTTGTTTATCAAGTGTTTGCTCTGAGCCGAATATGCCATGCTGTGATGCAGCTGGAGCGCTGCTTGCCCCGCTTTTCACTGTTCAGTTATTAGTGTGTGCAGATATTTCTTGTCCTTGTACTGATGGCCTCATTGCAATCTGTGTTCTGCTCAGAGGCCGTTATACATGCAGATCCACATTACGGCTCACCTCTGCCGTATAGTTGCCATGCCAGCAGTGATGAAGCTTTTCTGTGGTATTGGGAATCCACACAACTACCACGCAGTAGATTTTTCTACTCAGAAACCCTTTCAGGAAGGCTCTGTGTTGATGTGGTAACACATAATCCTGAGTAAAAGGACAAGGGGGCACAGTATCACAATTGTACTACATACAAATAATTTTTGTCATTGTAAATAAGTTCTTTCTGGTATTTAAACTTTCGTAAATGTTAATTCTCCTCTAATATTTTTGCTACAAAGGATACTCTGTTATGTGGCTGAAGTCATGATCCTGGATTACCCTTGTATATTTGCAGTCTTGTAAGCAGCCATCAAGCTACTGGATTTTCTTTTTTTTAAGAAGGGAAGGGGAATCACAGTTCTTCTAAGTTCCTGTTTCATCTCATTGTTGATTGGACAATTAGGCCTTGATATTTCTAGGCTTAGGTTGGCCTCAGTCATGTTCCTGTTCTTACATATGCACTGTGACCTATGCAAAAATGCCTATCCAGGCACTTGCATAAGACTCACAAGAGGAAAAACTCACAGGTCAGTGGCAGGGAAAGCAAAGAGGATGTTGAACCTTCAGCCAGTGCTGAATGGAGAATGGAAAGGCTGAGGGGGTTCTCTTTTGGAAAACTAAAGCTCAGAGATAGCATATGATTGAAAGAAGAGAATGTTTAGAATGCTTTCCCTTGAAGAATTGTGTTGTTCATTGAAAACCATTGAGCCTTTCCATACTTTCTCCATCTGATACCAGTTTGAGGGTCATTTCTCACTTTCTTGTCCAGTTTTGATGCTACCCTTATTTAATTTTGCTCTTCCATGGCAGGACAGCTCCCATGTAATCCCTTCAAGTCCTGGTCGTTATTCTTGGATGCTTTCAGATGTTTCCTTTTTCCATGTGCTTTTGTGGACACTTGTCCAGAGTGAATGTTGTGAAGAAGTATATTCACTTTGCCACTCATGTAATTCCACTTAAGTTGAACAGATTCAATTTATTTTAATGTCAAAAGCAATAAAAGAGAATCTCTCCTCCTTCAGAGGAACACATTTGGTGAGATTCAGTGTGGGTCTTTTTCTAGGTTTGCTGTCCTAAGCAATGTGCTGTGAAAGTAAACAAACCTTTTAGCTCAACGCTGTTTGCATGGTCTGCATTTCTGGCTATTTTATTTTTACTGTGTCTTGCTGCATGAGAAAAGTAGTTCACCCTGACTCTCTCTATTAAAAGCTTACTGAGCGTGATAAATTGTGAAATGTCACATTCTACCCCAGAAGTCTCCAAACTTTTTGAGCCCATGGACACATTTGGCTCAAATGAGAAAAATGAAAAAAAGCCTTATGACAAAAATGCTGCAAGTGCCCTCATCTGTGCCGTGCATGAATAAACACACTACTTGTATTGTACTCTTTTTCCTCCTCTTTTCCCTCTTTTCCCCATCACTCTCTAACTCTCTTTCACCTCTCCTTTCTGTTTCTTTAGCTACCCCCCTCATTGGTTCCTCCTTCTTCCTCCCTTGTCCTCTGCTCATCCCCATCTCCATCCCCAACCAAGGGGTTGCTTGAGACTTAAACAATTATCAGAAAACCCATAGTTTGTTGCAGGGTCATTTGAGAACTGTTTTAACCCTCAAACAACCCGCTACCAGATTTGGTCAACATAACAAAGGATGGCAACCCCATTAGTGGCTGAATATTCAGAATGGCCTTTGGGGGACAATGTATCCCGCTGTGGTTTAAATAAGTCCTGATGGGCTGCATTGATTGTGTGAAGCAGCCCTATGTTTTTCTTTCCATTGTCTCACCTCTTCCCTGAGTCCTAAGGCTATCAACACAAAAATGACTTTTCTGAGACTGCTATTTGCATTTTAAGGGAAGTTCCATTGAAGATGTCTACAGAAATAAAGCAGCAGCTTCAGAGAGGCCGTTGTTTTTGTCTGGAAAGTGTTTACATTCCGCTTTCCTGTCTCCCCCACCCCACACATGCACACACAATCCACAGGATGCTCTGGCCTCCCCATGTCATGTCTAGTTTGACCCTGAAAACCCACTATGGGAATAATCTACTTGCCAAAGCAGTCTGCTCTGCTAGCCAGGAGCTCTTATATAGAAATCCCATTGACTTCTGGATTCTTTCACAATTGTCGCTTGTGAGTTTCAAGTGTGTGCGCATGTGCGATGTTGCTCAAGAAAACCATGGAAAGACAACATTGAAACTGCTGTAGATGTAACAAGCAGTAAACTTCAAAATGGTAGACTTTACAGGGAAAGACAAGAGCCAGCCAACATGTGTGAAGATGCAATTCTATGCACACTTTTCTGCAAATAAGACCTACTGAACTCAGTGGGACTTCCAAGATGACACATAAAGGATTGCACTGTGATCCAGGTTCTACAGTAACCAGTTAGCAATTACTGACTATGTTACAATGGGGATTCTGCAAGTTCAGTTCAGAAGAGTTGCCCTGGTTACAGAATTTGGTACTTTACCTCAGCTATAAGGGTGCTAATGTAGGCTTGAAAACCTACAGACAATGCTGAGGTGAATCTTGCTACAGGGCTGATCAGAGCTTAATTCATGGTTGCTCTTTCCAAGACTAGTAGAATCAAAATAAATTCTGGAAATTCTGCAAAATATCTAAATTCCTTAATATATAAAATTTATTCAAAATACAGACCTTTATTTATTAACTCACTTAGTTCATTTCTATGCTGCCCAATAGCTAAAGTTTCTGAGCAGTTCACAAAATACTATTTTTAGACAGATTTATCTGTTGTTTTTAGCCAAAGGTATATACGCAGTCATGGCTATAAGTTCAAAAAAGGTTGGTTTTGTAGCATTCTTGAGGAAGGTAGCCTATATTTCTCAGATGAACTGAAATAATAATGCAATATTTTGTTCCATATATATCTCAATCATAGAAGTTGAACATAGGTGCATTGTATATAGTCATTTCTTGGACATCTCTTGGTTTGATCATAGAACAGTGTTTGTGGCATATCAAAGTGAGCTCTCTTATGCTGTTTTAATTTAGTTCTGCCTTGGAAACACTTTTTTCCCCTCATATGTGTTTGGTTGATATATATATATTAAATATATCTGTATATGTATATGTAGCTCAAGCTACAGACCTGTGTATGTAAAAGTTTCTGGTTTTTCCAGTGTTTTTGCACAATACATTGTGATTCCATTACTCTTATACCTGTCTTCAGAATCCAGGAGAATATCATGCAGACAGCGCAGGAACTAAAAACTATTTCTGGCATGATGACTCCTTGCAAGATATACTAACACCGAGCTAATTTAATACAAACTTAAGAGGGCTGATATCACATGGAGTCAAACTCGTCTGTTTTGTCTTTGCTTTCTCTTCATTGTTTGAATATAGCTGCAGATAGTAAGGATGAAGAAATCAAAACTCCTCCCAAGAGATCCTTTCTGGGTATGTACTTTACAAACCCATGCTGCATGAAATTTCCATTTGGGACGCCATCTATTTTTTCACTGCTTTTTATTTTTTATTGTTTTTGCCATGTTAGACATGAATGCATGTTTGTCATTTCAACAGAAAGGCTACCTGTGCTATATTTTTCTTAATAGCAAATTTTCACTTTTCAGTATACTTTTAAAGATGACCAAGGAAAAAAGATGCATTCAGTTTTGCTCCTCAGACTTCCATGTTCTTTCAACCTCAGCTATTTTTCTCTGTTAATTCTCTGGCTATATTTGAGACCATAGGATTTGCACTCAGGCAGAGCAATCCTGTAAGCTCTTAGACAGTGTCTGGGAATTGAAAGGATGGTGCATAGTTCCTCTTTTTGGGCCATGGACAGAGTTATGACTGTGGATATGGAAATCAGTCATGTATCTTCCCTCCTTTCTCTCACAGCCACCATGGAAAACTTATCTTTAGAGGTTGCTTTTACAACCTTGTAAAAGATTAGAGAGGGAGACTCGCTGGCATGCTGGTGGGTGGGGCAGGGAAGGAGTGGAGAGGCCGGGATGTGCAGGATCCTAAAGTCTCTTCACCACCATCCCAGATGCCAAGGGATAAGCCAGCTAGATGATGTAAGCTGCCCAGGTAGCCTATGTCATATAAATTGAATAAACAAATTTTAAAAAGAGCCAAGAAGTTTGTTTAGCTGTAAAGGAAAAAATGGAGGGGTATTTTCAACTCTGTCTTCCACTTGCACTGTCCTATGTTGCAGGACATTGGATAGACACAGGTTTAAGCATAAGAATATCTATCTGCCTGTTAAGGGGGAAGCCACTTACTTAGACTCTTAATCATCCACTGTTCCTGTTTTTATTGCATTCTAAAGCCCTCCCACCCCCCACCCCCCCTTTGGTCTGAAGTTCAAGTATGGGTGTTCCTATAGTCAGGTTGCATCAGTGTGGCAAATATCCTGCCCTTCTGCTCTTACCTATCCTTGTTTTGTAGTCATTGTCACTAGAATCATTGAATCAGAGAATGGTAGAGTTGGAAGGGATGAAGCAGGCCACTGAGTCGAACCCCCTGCTAATGCAGGGCATGAAGTTGCACTATCCCTCTCAGATGACTGTCCAATTGCATCTTGAATGCATCTAGTGTGGGAGAACCCATAACCTCCCTGTGTAATTGGTTCCATTGTGAGGACATTTTTCCTGATATCTAGGTGGAATCTGGCTTCCTGTAACTTGAGCCCAGTTCTGTGTCCTTATTCTGTGTCCTTAACTTATTCTGTGTCCTGCTCTCTGGGATAATTGAGAAGATCCTTCCTCTTTGTGAGAACCTTTCAAGCATTTGTAGAGTGCTAAAGGAACTTCTATTTCATGGTCGCAACAAAGAATGTGTTGAATTAACCTGTCCCTCATTCTGACCTTGCAGGATATATAAATATTCTTCAATTTTTCAAAGTATCACTTCCTGTTGCATCTTTTTTCAAAATACTTTTGTTTGCTAAACATCATTTTTTTCTTTCATTTTCATCATTAGCTTTTGGAAATGTTTACAGTTTGCTTGCACAAAAAATATACTAACCTACAGAATGTAACCTGAGTTGAAATTCCTTAACTCCATGTTTACATTCTTGCTTCCTGTCTTTGTGGTGCATGGTGTCAAATTGCAGTGTAATCTGTAAATACGTTCATTGTTAGAAGGATCATTCATCTTGGGTACTTGAAGGGTATTGTAAGGAAATATGTAAATATGCTACTGACTTGCTCATTTATTGTTGGATAAACTGCTGTGTGCACATAGAAGCTGAATGTCTGTATGGCACTGAAATGGACTCTTCTTGTGAAAGAGAATTGGCTCCTTTGCATTGAGTTTGCGATTGTGTTGTAAACTAGGAAAGAACACAAGAAATGATTCTGTTTTTTCTCTATGATACAGAAAAGTGGTCTAAAACTGGTTTCTTGGTCTTCATGTCATGTTCCAATGAATATAAACCACTCTAAATAGTTTGGTGTCATTAGCAAATTTGGCTGCTTCACTGCGTTTTCCTAATTCCAGATCACTTTCTCTAGATGTTCAGTTGCAGTAGTAGGTACCTGATAACAAAGGTGTGAAAAACATGGTGTAGTGTAGGTACTGCTTCCTTTAAAATGGGTATGATGTCCACTAGCTGATTCTTGGGACCCATCCCCAGTCCCTTCAATACGCTAAAGCTTGCATGAGTACTTTAGAGGGCTTTAGGAGGGGGGATCTCTGTTTCTGGGTACTTTTAAAGAGTTTTATGATAGGCACACCAAATTATGGGAAAGCCCATGCAGGTTGCAGCAGCTGAACGAGTGGACCAGTAATTCAAACTGCCCCTTTTCTTAATACCTAAACATATCCCTCAGCTTCTCACAAGTGCTGGTGGGTGTGTTTGTTTTCAGTATATACTTCATCCTCTTTGTTATTGGGGAAACAATACTGCTCAACTCATACCCATTGTTTTGTAATATGCTATTGTTCAGAATGGATTCTGGAGGTCAGCCCTGACGCAGAGCAAATCTGAACTGCATCATGGCTAGCCAAGAGTGATGATGTTTTATGAATGATGGGTAAAGACGAAGGAATGCAGTAGTGGCTCGAAAACTGGAGAACGTCTATTTTGCTGCCATGTCATTCAGATCAATGTTAACCATTCTTCTGCATCCTGCATATTACTAGCCACTAACACAAGCAAGTTAGTGGCAGCTTGAGAACGGATCAAGGATGTGTGTTTGAGAAATGACAAGAATGATGGCGTTTGAGAAATGATAAGGAAGGACAATTAAGCTAGTGGACTGCTAATCATACTTCACTGTATTTCTTTCTTTCCCTGTCCTGTGTCTATATCCCACTTCTTATTTTGTCAGTTTTTAACCACACTGAATGCTTGAAGCATTTATTTTACACAAATAGAGGTAGATTTATATATTCTTTATTATGAATAGTGTGGGGGCTCGTTATATCTGTGTCACATTGATGATAGGCATGTTTGCCAAAGTAAATGAACTTAATACCATCTGTTTGCTTCCCTTTTCAAACTCATTAAACCTGAGTTTTGGGTGTTAAATCCTTTTGCAAAGTGATACAGTAAGCTCAGAGAAGTCTGTGCTCTACCTCGTCTGAATATCTGATAGACTTAGAAACTGCTACCACTATTACACTCTAGTTAGAATAATAGAGTGACAATATTACCTAGGGTTTATCTGCATAGAAGTGCTGTAAACTGGATAGATGATACCGAAGCTGTCCTTTGGCATTACATTCCAGCCAGAAACTAAGCTATTTCCCTCTGCTTTTGGGGCTTCTTCCTGAGTGTATTTGTCAGCAATCCAGCAAACTACTTAATGCTACTGATTGCTCTCCACAAGAAAAATTGACGGAAAGCTTTTATCTGGGTACTTTATTATAAAAAGATTTTCTTAGGCCTAACAGGTAGCTTTTTATTTTTCAAATGGAAAAATGATAATACTGGTTATTTGCAGAAAAAGTAAGCCTTCAGCTGCAAAAGTGACAAACCTTATTTATCTATCTATCTATCCCACTCTATGCACCATAAGGCTCCCTTTGAATGCTCAGATTATCTTTTGTTCTCTTAATTATGTACCGAGCTAATTCTGTTTTTTAACCCTGTGAACTGCCTTGATTTTTAACCAGTTATTTAACTGAAGTCAATAGAAGTAATATTTTGAAAATGGTTAATTAAGTTTCCTTTAAATAACCTGTGTGCAGTGTGTTTGGACTATCATTTTTAAGGAAACTTTGCTTGAATCAAAAGAAACAAACTCTTTACAGCAGTGTTGTCAATGCACGGATTAATCATTTGTTAACGCTGTTGTAGTGTAACATCAAAAGCAAGGTAATGCCTTCATTTGATGGCTTGGCATGACTGGTCTAATAGGATTTCCCACCGCTTTGGCCAGCTGCTTAGCTCTCAGTCTTGGGTACTAGATGCTGGTCTACAGCTCCCATCAAATCCAGTCAACACATTGAAATACAGGGTTGGCATGAGTTGTAGCTTGCCAGCATCTGGATACCCAGGTTGGGAACTTCTGGTTTAGTAATTGTCTAAGAATGCTTAAGCATGAGACTAAATTGTGAGAGGCTATCTTTGCTTTATTATGCAGACCTTGTAATTAATGCTTTGGGGCAATCCCAATGCATTTACATTCTGTTGGCTGCCATCAGAAGTCCTCTGTTATGCATATGATCTGCAAATAGAAGTTTGTTAGATCTCTTCTTCCCCCATATTTTTTCATAAATTGTGTTTTGCCTTTGGCAGTTCTATATGGAGGATTCCAAAGGACACCATATAATGAGAGATGTTGCTCTTGTGAATTGTGGGGATTGGAGTCAGTCTTGCATATGCTCCTATACTGCCCATTCTACACTGAATTGCACACTAAATATTTGGATCCAATCCTAATAAATATGAGGGATAGGTCAGATTCTAAAAAAACTTATTTTGTACGATGCTGAGCTTGAAAACTGGGGATCCATCATCTATTTGATGAGGCCTATAGTTGTGCAAAAACCAACTTACTACACATTGCCACAGATACAACAAATGGAAAGGGCTGAAAATTTGTACAGCTAAGCTTACCTGTATTTCTTAAAAATTCTTGGCATTCTTGCTGAAGTATGTTCTTCAGGCTTGTTGAGGAAATATTCCTTTTACTGGGTTGCTAAAATTCCAAGTAGCAATTTAAATGTTTTCAAGCCATTTTTTGCTCATGAAAACCTGTGACAGCAACTGCTGGCAAAGCGATGTCAAGCGTTTTTAGTTGTGTCCTGGAACTAGAATGCTGCCAGGAGTCCAATATTTTGAAAGGCATTCCATCATTTTTAGCATTCAGAAAGTGGGAGGGGTTGCATGATAACTGTGGGAAGGAGGAGGTAATGCTGAAGAGAATCATGATCACTAATTGATAGTGAGAGGGCGGCAAAAAAATGTTATGCTAGCACCTTGTGCAAGTTTTCTCTGA